GATAACTAAAAAATGAAATGAATCAACGAGATCATATGATAAAAGATGAGTTCCCATGATTGGAACAACAATCCATGGCATCTATTTGTTACATGCAGTCCAATCAGTACGGGCAGCTTTTCTTCGCGCTTAAGTCAAATCAAATCAAGTGAAGTAAAGAAAAGTGATTGAATGATTAATTAAGCACTTTCACTTTTATTATGTTCCAAAACATGCAAAAATTGCAAAGCAGAGAATTAAAGAAGAAATTTGATGAATGAAAGAATGGTAAGTGCTTACTGTAAGTGATTCGGTTTCTCGGAACTGTTAAGTGTTGGGCGGACAACATCCATGGCCACCATCCATGGAAGGGATTACATTCAGAGAATTTGGAGAAAATGTAAACAAAAAATAACACACCCCTGCCCTCCACCAAATACACGCACTCACACAAACCTTCCAGATTATACTAGTGAGAAATCAGCTGACAACCTGGCGTTGCGCCAAACAACACTCGTTCCGGGACTCAGATATTCGCGCGCAATTTCAAAACATAGCCAGGCATAATTTGTCTCGGTCAAACTCCAACGAAACAACCAGTTTAGCAAAGTGATGACCAATAGGTCATTATCGGTCATCTTCAAGCAAACTTTTAAAGTTTGACGACAGATTTAGATGACTTTTATATAGTCAATTTTTATTTGGTGCTGAAAATATCAAATAATTATTTCATTATGTTTCCTCACAGATAAAAATTTGACATAGTTCGAATTTGAATTCAGCAAAATGTTAAATAAACTGAAATAAATGTACTCGAGGTGGCACGAATGAAAAACTAATAACGAAAAGGTGCAGACCTTCCGATGCAGATAGAAGTTGCTTGCTTCATCTAATCCAAAAAGGAAAATTTCTGCGGTTAACTCTGAGAGTTCAGAATAAACAGCACAGTAATGCAGAATAGAGTGTGACGGTAAGTGATAAGCAGACAGCAGATGGTATGTGTTCATCACGACACCATCGATTTTAAGATTGAACTAGCTGGACGAGAACCAACGAAGTTTATCAAAGATGTGATTATAATTTCTAGGGAGCATTACGCAATTCAATGCAAAAAGTGGATTTGCTGTGGATATTAATTTTAATTAGTTAATCAAATGATTCGTCGCAAAATGCATACTTTAAACCTAACCAAGTGAATTAATTTTGGTAAGTTAATTTATTGTACGGCCTTTTCAGAAAATTTTTTCACTTTTCCATGCTGTAATTCACGAGTTTTTCGCTTTTTTCAATTTTCCTTTAATTCATTTTATTCATACAAACGTAAACAGAAGGAAATTTTGTTGTTGTGCATAAACATTACAGGGCATGATATTTCCGATCAATACTATTTGTTTTTTCATTCATTGACCAAATAAAAATCGGACTTCCATTGACCTAAAATATTCTGTAATGTCTGAAAGAACATTTTACTACCTATATAGCAGATGCATACTACATCAGTTAAAATGATTTTCTTATGATTAACTGAATTTTTATAACTTAGGAATATTATTTTCATGGTTTTACATTCAAATGGTGGTTATATGCATTTCTGCCTATCTGTATACTTGCATTTCGTAAACTCTAAGTTATAGGAAGCATTGACAGTCTTTTCAGATTTGTCACTTTATGGCTAGCTTTTGCTTCCAATAAATTCATCTTAATGAAACCTAAACAGTTGCATGAATAGTACCGTTTGATATCAGATAAAGTCGGGGGTTACAACACTGGAACACAAAAAGACTTATCGATTGATATCTCTCAAATTTTATATACCTTTTTTATGACGCACTTTAAGTAGGTATATAACTTAAAAATGAAATAGAAATACCTAAAAAAGAATTCGGAACATACAAATGAAATGAAAACGAGCAAGCAATCGTAATTTTGGGTTAATGACGAATCCTAACGATGTCGATGAAATGGTTTGCAGTAACATTGTTGACCATCTATCCATCCCTCTTGCTGTTGTTGCAATGTGACTGTTGTATCTATGTTAAATGGCGCGTTACTGGAGTAGCAACGAAAATGGTGATGGTTTCGGCCTTGGCCTTGTCTTTAGTTTATGGCCGTCAATATTATCATTCATCAATCTGTTTTCAACGATAAGCGTTTCTCCTCCAGCACCACTACTGCGTGGTGGTTAACATGCTGTAATTCTTGCATGTTTAATGTATGTAACATTAAGAAATCTCAGTATAAAAAAAATTGCATTTTTTTTGTCACCGCTGTATTTATACTATTTTGCAGAAGTTGGAAATAATTGCCGACACTCAGAAGCAAATTCAGTTCGAAAATTGATCGAGATTTAGTTTACAATTCAAACTTGGTTTGAAATAACGAAATATAAATAGCAAGAAGTGTGCTACTTTTGCTACAGTCTCTTTTTCCGATGAGTTATTACAGTACTTTAATCGAGTGTGGGTTAAGAATCAGATCTCACTAATGATATAATATTTTAAATCAATATCTGATCGGTCAATTTACGTCCTTAGCATTTTTGTATATAATTACGCTTCATTTTAAACCATTTTCAAAACTTGTTTTAAGATTCGAAATATTTAGAAAATTTTAAGTCATTGTCATTTTAATGAATTGCTTTAACCGATGAAAACATTGAACTCTTTCTCTATCTTCTATCTTCCTTTTCCTTTCTATATCCAATTTCCCAGAATAAGTGGCCGAAATAAGTTTGGATGTATAGCCATCTCAATGTTTCCCTTAAATTACTGAGATTAAAATTTTGCATTCGTTCTTCGGTATGATTTTTGATTTGGTTGGACTGGTGATGGATTTTTTGGATTATGAACTGCTGACACGTTGCGTTCTTGTTGTCGATGTTTTCGTCAGGCGGTGTTGATTATTACTTTTAGACTTCTTGTTCTTATGAGATTAGATGTTTCCATTTATTTTTGTGGTAGTCTTTTTTATTCGGATTATTTGTTTTTTTTTTTTACACATTAAAAATCTTCAGGCATCAGAGCAAGGTGTCGATAAATAACTCGTGCACAGAATTTCATACACTTTGTCATACAAATCTTGTCATTTGATTGCAAATGAATATATTTCGTTTCGCTGGTGATTCTTTTCATCTTATTGCTATAGTTATACTAGTTGTGAAAATATGGAAAACACGCTCTTGTGCAGGTTTGTAAGTTTAAAGATCTTACAAATGAGAAATCTTTAATGAAATCGATAAATTTTTGTAAATCTATTTGTTAAGATGCTGTCGACTATTGTTATTGTAATATTGAAATAAATGAGGTAATTTCAGGACTTTCTGGAAAATCGCAGCTTTTATTTGCACTTGTCTTTACATCGCGTTATTTAGATCTCTTCAATTTCATTTCATCTTATAATACAATTATGAAGGTATGCAGATTTGATTGTTGACAATAGATCTATGTAAGATTTAAATTTATTAAGTTAGGCTGCTAGTTAAAGTAATTTTATGATTGAAAATGCATAACATTTTTATGTTGATTACTGAGGTCATGCGAATATTTTTCAGAGATAAATAGGATGATCTGTTATAATAGGAGCAGAGCTCACTGGATAGTCCATTTTTTCACTTATGCCTGCGGCAGCGAATAAAATCATAACTAAGAAAGTGGAACTCGCATAGGCCAAAGTGGTAAAAGTCAACTACTGTAGTAGACTTATTATATGAGGATTACAACTCCAATTTTCTCTTCCGAGGCTTCATGAAACAGTTTATTAATAAATGCATATGAGTATGGGTGGAAATTTATATTGACAAGCCTGGTTTTTTTTTCGTTATTTTCTTTCATTTTCCACATCAGTTTATTTCAAACTGTGTTTGCTTCCAAAACATTTGTTTGAAATCATGATTTCTGACTGTCATCACTGAAACCATCTATTTTCAGATTTTTTTTCTTGTGTCTTCATATGGAACCGTTTATCTCATGTTTTTCAAGTTCAGAGCGACTTATGACCGGTATAAGTTCCTTTCGTTGAAGAAATTCTGTAATTCTGATGAATAACGCTAAAATCAGTGAAATTGTTTTTATGGATGAAGAATTTTCAACAGATTTTAATGGTGTTGTTCCAAAAAGTCGCCTTTTGCGTCTTTTGTAAATAGATTTATCTTTCTCCTAATTATTTGGTAATTTTCTCCTCCCGCAAATTTTATTTTTATGAATTAAGTTTTCAAAACATTTTATGTTTCATCCCAATTTCAGGAATCACGATACATTTCGGATAGAATTCTTAATTATTCCAGCAATAGCACTTGCCTTTCTCATCAACCACCAGTTTTCGTTCATGGAGGTTAATTGTGATTTTTTGATATTTCAGAAAATGAGTATATTCCAGGATTGCACCTGTTGCTAGTGCAGCAGTTTTGGGATTCGTTTTAATGAAGTAACATTCTATTAATTTCTTGAAGTTGAATGACAATTTTTTTGATTAATCAGGTTTTTCTTTTTGATTTTAAGTTGCAAGAGGGAGGGCTAAAGAACTAATAATTTTTGCAAGTTATTAGAAATGTTATGAGTTTGAACAGGATAAAGTTGAGATGTATACGGTATCACTTAAAATTAAGGCGAAACGCAGTAAGCATGAGTAACTAAAATTAGTGTTGTAAATAGTGTGACCGAAATAGTAAAAGCAAAAAAGTAGCGATTGTAGGCTTCTCAAATGCATCCTGCAAAAATAGAAGTAAGCGTTGCGTGTCGTTATTCACTACTTAAATTTTTCTTTGTAATATGTTCCCATTAAATCTTTAGTTATAAATAATGAATTTTATGACTGTCAACGTTTGATAAATAATGAAATTATCTAAGGGTTACAAGCCGAATTTTGTTGCATTATGTATATTTTTTCTGTAAGAAATCATCTCTAAAATGAGTGAAAAACATATAAACTAAGTATTTTCATATTTTAATCTTTGATGCCTTACTTTTTTATTTGTTAACTAGATTTCCTGGTCGTTCTCCATATATTTGGAAGCAGTTGCCATCATGCCGCAGTTGTTCATGCTTTCACGTACCGGAAGCGCGGAAACAATCACTGCTCATTATTTATTTGCATTGGGAACATATCGCGCTTTGTATATCTTGAATTGGGTATATCGTTATTATACTGAGGAATTTTTCGATCCTATTGCAACTGTTGCCGGTGTCGTACAGACTGTACTTTATGCCGATTTTTTCTATCTATATGTTACACGAGGTAATGTTTTGAAGTTAGGCTTCTTTAATACATTTTTATTCTACGAATATCATTTTTTTACCACACACAGTTTTTCCTAATTTTATTTCATTTTCTTTTTATTGTATCTCGCGCTATTCCTTCCTGATTTTTGAATTTCGGCACTTCTTTTGAATTTCAGCATACATAGCTACTTTATTCTTATATAATTTATCTTATAATTTTCGTCTATTTAGTGATTCGAGGACACAAAAATCTGGAGCTTCCCGCTTAGTGTTTCCGATATCAAGATCGCGTCTTCACTGCTTATACCTTTATAAAAATTTATCTTTATTTGCTTACATAGTTTTAAATCGGTGTTAAACCAGTGTTAAATCAGTTATTCATGGATCATATTATTTTTCGAAACTTTCTTTAGGCACATCTATGCAGTTTTGACACCCTAGTCTTCTCATTGGAGAGCTTCGGTTTTAATTATTCGTTTTCAAGTGAGTTTTTTTGAATTATATGAACAACCTATTTGTTATTACGCCTTAAAACAAAAAAATACGGGGAAAATATTTGCGCATCAGTGAATGTTTGTTATTTCCGATAAAATATGGGATTTAGAGGAAACATTTCGCTTTTAAGAGTGTTTATCAATCACTAAATTACTTATTTGGATTTTTCCAAATGACATTGATTTGATTTCTATTTGAGAACGAATGTATGGCTTCCTATCTTCCTAATTTTTCATTCTATACTGATTAATAATCATTGCTTTTTTTTAAATATTGTTTTGAAGTCCAGTTAATTTCGGTACGTATACATTAAAAATTCGTTATTTAAAATCCTGCGACGAAGAGCTGGCAGAGATTTACTGTACTGCCTTGAAGGAAATGATTTCAAGTTTCCAAAAGTGATAGTCTAGTTAACTTCGAGACGTGTATATTAAAAGAAGGAATTCGATGAGGTTCTCAAAGATCCAATGCTTCACTTTTATTGCATTCTGTTTTTCCACTTATTTCTGTGATGTGCTTCCGTTAATTACACTGTACCTTTTCGGTTGCTTTCCATGTCCTATAAAGATGAATGTAAAGCACATTCCCAGCATACTAGCATGTTTTTCATGTTTCACGCTATCTTGATAGCAATGCTTTATCACCTCGGCAGATGCATTTATCGTAGAAAATGTTTTAACAAATTTCTAAAGGCTGTTTTTTAGAAAATATTCAGGATTTCATAAAGAAATAGTTTTCATGAAAAAAATTGCTGGACAGGTAAAAACTCGATCAAAAGAAATTGATTCGCAAGAGTTCTGAAGCATACTGCCGACAATAGTTCCTTCGACTTCTGGAAGTTACATTTTATGTTATGCACAAATTGAGTTCCAATACTTACACTCAGACATATCCGGAAAAAGGTGAATTGTTCCCAAAACTCCGAACTCTATCCCTCAACAAAGTATTTTTTTTGCCCTGCTATTCGTAAAAAATCTCGACGGGATTATATCAGTCTAAAATTGTGATTCACGAAATTCTTTGCTAAGTGTGCAGTGCCAAGCGTTGTGCTCACTATAATTAATTTACTGATTACTCTGCTGATGATTTATTCGGGTCACCAAAAGTATAGTGCGAGCCGTTTTGAAGCAGAATGGTTAATATAAGGTAGCTGGTGAACACTGTAAATACAGTTAAATGAAATGAATTTACTCCAGCAATCATTTTGTATACCTAATTTTCTGAATTTATCCAAAATTCTAAACATCACTCCGAACTCACATCCATTTTATATGGGAACAGAAAGAAATAAACTGTGATCGCACTGGGGTTTGAAATCATAACGACTGGAAGTGAATTTCCCTTCTTCCTTTCGAGGTAACAGACCGAAATTGGCTTCTATTCGGTATAATTTTTCACTTTACGTCCTTCTAAAATGTAACGATATTTACGAAGTTTAACTCTCATCATAAAGAACTGGACACCTGCACATCCTTATCACAAAGTACAAGTTATAGGTTAGGATTTTAGGAGATCTGAATGACGCGAGGGAGGAGAAATGGATCGCAAGAGAGAAAATGAAATGATGGGTCATCGGTAAAATATTCAAAATCCTCTCCCCCTGCCCCTCCCCCGGAAATTTCGAACTTGGAATCTATGTTGTATATACAACAATACCATGAAGTTTCAAAGTAATATACAACAGTGATATTAGTTTGCGGCTTGTTTTCAGATACTCTAGAAAAAAGAACAGCATGCAATTCTTAGCTCTCCTATTCTACAGTATCTCGAGTTCACATAAAAGAACTCGAAATCTTCGCTAGGCACTTTGTTGATTTTCGAAACTGTCAAACATTTTTGAAGCTTGGATTTTCATTGAAAAAAAAACCATTTAATTTTCTTTTCGTTAAATTGGATATAAGAAGCGATGAGAAAGTCAATTCATGATCATACATTATGAAAATCAATTTGGTACCGCTCATCCTGGACTACATTATTTTTTGGAAATCTACGGTTCACTCTAGAAACCAATCTATGCCTCTTAATCCTCCTCAGATTGTCTTTCGTTTTGAATTCTGTCTGAAACATCCGGCATCCTAATACCTCAAATTATGAAAACCAGATTTTATCAACAATAAGACTATTTCATTTCTTTTTCCAATTTCATTATTTCAAATCCTGCCCTAAAGTAAACTGTCAGGAGTCCGAGAAAAAATGAGTCAAATCAAATCAGCATTTCATTTTGAAATTTTATGGGACCTCTATTAATCTCAGTACTCAAGATTTTGAAAAAAACTACCTGCGATGAACAAATATTTAGATGAGCAGTATCACTTGTTTTCTCAAATTTGGAAGAATATAATTGCACAATTTATTTTTCACAAATATTACTGCAAACAGATATTATTTTTCAAAGCGCAAATATTTGGTATGTGGGACGCAAACAAGTTCAAATACCAGTAATGAACAAACAAGAAAGCAGGCGGAAACAGAAGCAAAATCATAGCACACTCGACCGAAATTTACTCACAGAACTCTATCCGCTACTAAGATTGCTCTGAGGGTTTTACTTTAATACTTTTGCAAACTGGCAAGATTTCCAAGCATCCGTTAACGGAGGACTAAAAGGTTTAAAAACGCATGTTCTTTATACAGCAATACTTCGGCTATTACGTTTGTTAACTTTGGCATAGTTTTTCCTCCTTTCCATACTAGAGATTTCAAATCCAACTAATTTTTTCAAAAGTAATATATACAGTACATTGTCTCCTCCACTTGCGCTGAAGTGTCTTAAAAACAAATAAATTCCTTTTCCTAAGATCAATTTCCGAATAAATAATGCTGTAAAATTTTGCAGAACCAAAAAAAAGAAGCAGAGAACGATATAGTGGATCAGAAAGGTTCATCGATCTCACAAATTTGCTGTTATTTCTATATCATTTACTAGATACCCAAGAAATGAACTGCCACAACATTCTTGAGATTTTCTGGCTATATACATATAATATAAATACGTATGTAAACGCTGAAGGAAACTAAGATAATAAATTCGAAATTGAGCGATCACCGAAGTTGACAACTAAACATTTCTTAAGCCGCTAGACTTAGTCATTGTCCTAAACAAAAGATATTCTTCAACGAGAAAGACACGTCATTGTTTTTCAAGAAATTAACCATTCAAATAGGATATTGGTTAATAAAAAAATAAGAAACTGAACAGAGAGATATTATAAGAGTTAAACGATCAGGGCAAAAAATCAGAAGTAGCAGCGCATTAATTCCAAGAACAACTTTAGGAAGTGCAATTAAGCAGCCAAGATTCCGATACAAAAAATAATAGCATGCATTCAAGTTACTGGAGAAGAGAAAAATGCAGATCTGCTGTCGAGGTCAGTCTTGTGCATTTCTTTAACAGAACCACAGAATGAGAATCGAATAATCTCCAAGACATTATTTGACGGTCTATTTGGTATTTTCCGTCATCCCTACTAATTCTAATTACCACTGAAATGTTATATACCTTCTCCATTAGTCTCAAATTCTTATCTAAATCAATTCAACTATTAAATTTATTATCAGCACTTCAATTATCTTAAACTTTTGAAGATTTCTTAACATTGAAGGAAGTTTGAGGATTCCGCCGCATATCACCTTGACATCATATTTTTGATACCAGCCTCAATCATTTTGATAGATAACTAATAGACAGAAGAGGGACACATTTTTCAACTTTCTTCAGCTACCAAGTAATACACAAAACTAATACACAGAAACAATCAGAATTATATAGTATTAAAAAAAAGCAGACAATATATGTGTAGTTAAAGCAAATTATTTAGAATTAAAACAGTACATGACAACAAACACAAATGTATCCACTGCTCCAATAACTCTGTATTTTGAGAAAAACTAGAACTAAGATTGATTATAGAAAAAGATCATCAAACTAAGCATATCAATCTCAAAAAACTAAAATCCACTCATCACAAAAAAAAAATCAACAATTTTTATTGGAACAACCACATCTATCTAATGCAGACAATACCAAAAGCTTAAGAAAAGGAAACAAAAACATTTTATTTTCTTCACGCTTCTTAAAAAAAGCTCCGTCACTGATTATTATTGGATAAAAACTTTAGAAGAGTTTTGCTTTTCGTTTCAAATTAATTCTCTTCCATTCCGGTAACTTGTAGAACTCGATTGGACTCATGCTGAATGTCTCTTCAAACTGGTTTCTGTTTAAATGTCGCTCAAGGTGTGCGCGATCCACATCATCCGGCAATTTCTTGTTGGATGTTTGTAACACGTTCAGTGGGTAGATTTTTGCCGGTTTACTCATATCTGGCAATGAACCTCTCAAAGCACCACGACTCTCACCTGCACCGGCACCATTTATGGTACAAGTACGATAGTTATCTGGCAAAGTGCCACCACGTCCAGCTAGCGATTCTGAAAAAACGAATTCTGGGCAAAATACAATTTAGAAGGTAAAACAGAAATATGACTAGAATTCCGAGTTTTGCCACATTTTTAGGAAGTTTAAGAAACCTCGCGTAATGAACAAACCGAAAATTCCAACAAGGCTCGTTCCCCGAGTTATCAAGAGCAGTCATTTATTTTTTTCAATTGTTCATTCCCTACTCGCCTATACCCAGTTTACGCAAGGTTCTAATTATAAGGCTTTTAACCCCAACAGTAAAAATAAATAGTACACAATTGGTAAACAGGAAATTATACGTATCACTTTATGAGAGTTGTCTAAACAGAATTGTTCGAAAATTGCTTACTAATCCCACTTGTTATCGGAATAAACTATAGATAACAAAAAAAACACGCGCGACCAGTCACCAAATCATGAAGATTCTCAATCCGCAAGGTCTACGGTATTCGTGTCAGATAAGTTTCCTGTCCTTGAATCAAGCTAAAACTCAGACTTCAATCTAAAAGCTGTCTTCGTTAATTTCTTTAAATTCTCCTTTTTAACTATACTTCATCGAAAACCAAAAAATTTTCTTATCTAGGCTCTCCGTCAAAACATATTTTCACAGTCGATAAAACGTTAATCGGTAGAATTAAAACGACAAATGACTGCCTTCAAACCCTGAATTTTGCTTTAATAAATCAAAACGTCCCTTCTTGCAAATGAAAATCAAAACCCTCCGAACAATTTCTTTTATGCTTTCTTACGTTCAAAAACTGACATTCTTAACCATTGTTAGCTCATAAGCAAGAACAATTTTGACACTATGCTATGTTACACTCTATTTTTTGTTTATATTTAAAGTGGTATACAATAACGATGACGTGATGGAGATTTCACTAGTGGTCCCTCTTGTTATAATGGATGTCAGTGAAACAATATATGACTTCTTAAAGGCCTATTCAGGGAGTTCATACACTGGTAGTGGACAAAAAATTTGATGAACTATTTCATCAAAGAATACCATCGCATTTTTAAAATAAATTTCAGCATAGCAAACAGCGGTCAGCGAGAATCCCAAAATCGAGTCTTCATTTATTATTCTTACTTTGGGCTATAGGAAAATGCCTAGTTGACAAATTAATTTCAAATAAAATTTTTGTAAGATTAAGATTACAATGCGAAGCAACTTTTCAGGAATACGGAAACTTTCCAGACAACTAATCCATATTCTATTATGACATCATTTTTGGTATTCAGTAATATTTGTGATGAATAATTAAAATCATTTATAATCAGTGCTGTCAATAAGAGAAGACTTTACACTTCAAATTATATCGGGGAATATGAAAAATATTGTAATATCTTCCAACGAAATACATGGTACACAAACATAGATTTAAATCTATGCTTAAACTTACGATCAGAAAAGTGGGAGCTAATTGTTGTGCTGAGACCATCCAAGGAAACATTTTGACCATAATGATAACCATCCGGTAACGTCGCCGATCGACCAGTCATTTCAACGTATGATCTCGGAATGTGAAAAAATGGTATTGATGTTGTCGCCGCTCTGTCTGTCTGTCTCTGCCAGTAAACCCATGGTTTTGGTCGATTCACATGACGCGAAGGAGCTAAATAAGTTATGCATCTTTCAACTTGTAACAGACTATAAGCAAGAAAAGCACTTGAAAATATAAGCTTACATGCATTTACTGGAGTGTCATAGCGAAATCGCAAATGCGGCATCTTTTTGGCAGATGGCGTACGGCTTGCATTTCTTGGATCCCAGTGCAGTGGCAATCTTAAATGATAATTAATGAGAATTATACATAGCATGTAGTTACTAAAAAACAAGTGCTCAGCACGTATTGTGTAACTAGAAAGCACAGAAAATGAGTACCTTTTTAACTATATTCGCTTGTGATTATAAAATGAAAATACAGAAAAATTCACAAATATCAAGAAAAAATCACTGTGTATAGACAGTAAAAGAGAATAATTTGGACAGATTCTACTGCCGTAAATCACAAATCAAGCAACTTAAGGCAGATGGATGTAGACCAAAATAAACCTTTGTTTTTTATGCACTTCTTCAAGATTTTGTTTGATAACATGAGCAATTGACGAATCTTTGTCATATGTATCTAACTGCTCCACTGCCCGCCGCAGCTTTTCATCGTCTATTCGATTTGACTCATCATAATCATCTTCATCATCGTCGTTTTCAACAGATGACCATGAAAGATGGCGCTTAACATCTTAAAACTAGCACTTAATTAAAAATCAATAGAAACACCACATGGATATTATATAAATTGCTTTTACTTTGCGAGAATTTGATGAATAGTAGGGAGGCATATTTAGTCCCTAAATCTTGGCATGGATCTATTCCTCACCTCAAGTTTAAAACCTGAAGTGATGAACAAGTGTTTCGCTTTCTTTTTTATCGTTGACAGAAGAAATAAAACTGGACACTAGATTTTTGAATGATAAGCCTTAAAATGAATAATATCATATCGGAATCTTAGATGTCGAAGTGCTATTAATTCTTTATAAATCTTGAAGAAATTCATCTCTGTTCATACAAAAAAAAAAAAAAAAACCAAACCATCGAGCGCATAGGGGTATGGTGGCGCAGGAAAATCAGCTCGTTCAATTGGTGGAACGATACCGGGTTCAGGAGCATGCCCAGCCGGATAATGGGCCATCTCAATCGGTTCTTCATTATCCATATGTGGTGATCGCGGACGTGGAGCACTTTTCTCGAGATCTTCTGCTGAAACAAAAATTTGGAAGTTAAAACCGGTATTATATCAGTTTGAACTTCGAAATTTTTATGAGTTGCCTATGTTTTTACATTAAAAAGATTAAAACGCACTTAATCGTTGCATTCCCGTTTTCAACATCGAAAGCCGTGATTTCCGGATTTTAATTGGACCTGAAAAATAATAATAAGGAAAATACATGCAGGTACGTAAAGTTTATGCAAATTCTAATTGGATACGTCAACAGAAACACAGAGACCTGAATTGAAATCAAACATATTCACCTTGAGGAGTATGAAACTGCGCAGGTTGTGGTGGATGAGGTGGAATTGGTTGCTTCAAATATGTTTGTTCAGCTTCTGGCAAAAGATACATATATGTCAGATGCTGACCAAAATGCGAATGATATTTCGGCTCTTCACAAGCATCGCTTGTGTGACTTGTTGGCTGGAAACATGATAATTAAACCAAGCTGACCTAGTAAATCATGGGAATTTAGAATACTTGTTCAAGGACAACATTTCATACTAATTTATCCGGATCTCAAAACAGGGAAGCAAAAATGAACAACTATATGTCAAGTACATTATAGACCAGAATAGCACTGTTGGTAAGCTCTAACCGATTGTTAGACTATTAGTTTCGATTATCACTCTTTATTCAAAAAAAAAAAAGTTAAGACATATTATGA